CTTGAACCTAAAACAAAACATAAATAGTGTATCAATAAACCAAGCCTGCACACACCGGAAAGGAAGTGTGACCAATGCAAATGCAACATATAATGTTTTACTGTCGAGGAAGCAGCCTGTTTCTGTCGAGTTCTTTCATACCTCGCGCAACAGGAAATGTGTGTAACCAAACAGGACGTCCTCCCTCCAGTCGGAGAAATCGAGCAACAGGCTCTGCAGGGAGTTCTGGGAAATAAGACGAAGCTCATCGTCCATGTGCACAGTAAGTCTGCGGGAGGGATGACATCATGATCAGAGTTCAATAAACAACATCTTATTTTACAACCTCATGGAAGGTAAACATTGCAGACAATTATTATCAGTGACAACTCAACATAAAGAAAGATGTGTTTTGTATAGCATCAGGCAAAGTTGTCTTGTTGCTAACTGACCGTGAGAGCAGGTCGATGAGCTCCGGTTTGGACATGGCATCGGGAAGGATACGAGGAATGGCAGCCACACATGTTCTGAACAGGTCGATCTTAGGCTTCCTTTCACCACTGTCAAAGAAGGGAGGGGAACATTAAGCACACTAACCCAAAACACAGCTATCATCTTATGTGCAAAAGATAACAATGCATCTATCATAAACATACAATAAATACATATCACACATCCTTATTGTCAGGACTTGGGCCACAAACTCAGTCACAGAGATAGCTGTATTTATTTTCTTTAAACAATGTTCAACTTTAGTTATGATACCAGGCAGAATAATAACACCTCAGTGCGGCACTTTGAAGGGACATACGTGATCATGTCTTCTGGTTCTTTGTTGAGCATCTGGACGCTGGTGAGCATCATACATCGACCCACCTCTTTGTCCAAGTGTCTCAGGATGTTGTCCAGAGACTTTCGCACCTGGGAGTAGTACAATGACATGCCTGTAGAGAACAGGAAGTGTCAGTCAGTGTGTGGAGTTAGAGACTTCATTCATTCCTCTTGAAGGCCTACAGACACACACATACCTATTAGTTTGGCTTCCTCTTCAGTTAGTGTCTTGCTGAGATAAGTTTTCTTCTTCTTCAGAGAGTTTCCAGAGGGTAGAGTGGCCCCTGTGTTGGGCATGGGAGGCTCTCCGTCCTTCTGTTGCAGAGCATCTGCTATCACCAGGAACGCCCGGAGACCTATGTTCATCCGCTGGAGTAGAGAGAAAGCAGAGAGTCACAGAGAGTCTTTTTATCCAGAGCAATGTCACATTTGTAGACATTTGAATAAATGCACCAAACAGCCCTTGCACTTTGACATGCAAACTTGTGTATGAATGTTTGGCTGCGGTGTTGTTTTAAAAATGGTTTAATAACATTAATAATTCAGTGCCTCTAAATCAGGGGTGTCAAACCCAAGGCCCGGGGGCCAAATCCGGCCCACGACTTCATTTTATGTGGCCCGCAAGAGCTTGCAAAGAATAAAATAAGTGTATTATACGGTTTCATGCCGCTTTACAGAAGCACGTTGTCCCTAAACTACATGTCCCACAATGCTTCTCATTTCGTGACATGCGCACTGAAGAGATTTGCAATTATTTGTAATGAATTGCCCTAGACTTCTGCTTTCAGGAGTAGTTAATTATAAAGTTATTAACCGATAATAATCCAATGCATAGGCTACAATGTAATATAATAAATAATTGTATATATGTATAAATATATATACATAAAGTTACAACTGGCCCCTTTGAGTGCAACCTTAATGATAATGTGGCCCCCGATGAAATTGAGTTCGACACCTCTGGTCTAAATAAAGGGTTTATTTTTGTACTTAGAAGGGATCTTACAGTGTATGTTATTTTCTACAGCACTTGGTGAATGGTTATGTTCATCTCAAAATCCTGATGTTTTGCTGAAAATGTCTTCATTATCCAAGCATAATAACAACAACACATTGGTGAGTCCTTTTACGTCTTCACTGTGGCTTAAAGAGCTCTCATATCAAAATGAACGCAGCAGAGATATTATCTACTTTTATTTCATACATATTTCTTCCATGAAAAAAAATAAATGTGGCACTACATTTCCCACCACTGACCGCAGACAGTTTGGTAGGAGAATCAGATGTGTTGCCAGTATGCTAGTAACGGCAAATGTGGCTTCAATCCGCTAGCCTCAAGCAGAGATGAGACAATACTTGAGACAGATGACCAAACTTCAAACAGCTCCCTCCAAACCACTAAAGACTTTATCCAAGATGTTACACAGACACACGAGGTGAAGCAATACCACTGTTGCATTCGCGGCTGGGAATCATTGGATTTGCTCTTTAAACAACAATGCTTTAAATTCTGTTCATATAACCAGAATCCTGTAAACACATTGCATTATGATCGTCCCTTATAGCATCTTTTTGCTACAGCTTATAAACATCTTATTCAAAGCTCCAACAAAGGGCATTCAGTTCTCTACCCTCCCGGCTGACTGAGGACTATGGATAAGAATAGGAATGCTCGTTGTGTAGCATGGACGGGGTGATACACTGTTGATCTGTGTGCGAGTGTTTGCACATGATTAAATGTCTCTTTACCTCTGGGTTGAGACTGAAGGCTTTGGCTGGTTTCCCAACACTCAGCAGGTCAAATATGATCTCCTTCATGGCGAAATCCAGTTTCTCCTGAAAAGAGGACAAACAAACTGGTGTTACAGGATATCAGAGTTAGTGTGGTATGTGGCAGCTAGTACATGCACTGTGTGTCGCCAATAGGACCTTTTGATTGAATAACTGATATCTTAGAGAAGTAACAATCGAAAACAACATAAAAATAAGGTCAACATTTTTTACAGCAAATGTCATACATGCTGTTTTCTAAGCAACCGTGGGAACAGGTAGTGAAATTAAATATTTTTTTTAGCTTTTGACCAGTTTCTGCAACTCTGTCAACATGTTTTCTTTATTAACCGGTGTTTGTGTTTCTTAGTAAAAGAAGCAGAGTAAATCTTGGAAGTTGGCACATAGCTGGCTCCACGTTAGACACAACAAACCACACTTTATTTCCCATGTGCTTTGACCCAAAGAAAAGGGTAAAAAAGCTACATCTAAGCATCATGTGAGTTTGTGGATGAGAGTGCGAGGAAGTGTGACACAAACCTGTGCAATAAACTGGATGATCTTGACAAAGATATTAAGGGGCATGTCTCTGGGCACCACGCTCCGGCTCCCTTTGGGGAACAGAGTGGAGGTGATGGAGGTCAGACGACTGTGGGAGGAGGGGGAGACAAACACAAGTGAGAAGAGAGATGATTGTGGTTGTAATATAAGTAGAATGTAGCAGTATGAAAGTAGTGTGTAATGTGTGTGTAGTATGAGCAGAGTCATTACATCTTTTGTAGTAAATCATGTTCATGTCAATTTCAAGAAACTCGCCAAACTAACCAAGGATCACTACAACAACTCTCTGCATTTAAGGGTTTGAATGTAGGATAAGTTGTGGAAAATAAATCTCTTTAAAAACATCAAATCACAAATGTAAGTGTTCTTGTGGTCTCATTTGTTCACAGTATTACAGTAGTGGTTTTTATTCTCTTTTTTTGTTTGTTCTGTTTTTTCCTTTTCCGTTTTATGCTTATTTTCATGGCTCTGTTGTTTAAGTCAGTGGTTCCCAAAGTGTGGGGCGCGTACCCCCCCTGGGGGGCGCAGAGGCATGACAGGGGGGGCGCGAGAGACCAGGAGGAAAAATGGTTATTAAAAAAAAAAAAGATGAAAAAAAAAAATAATCATAATTTGTAAAATTATTGATTCGAAAATAATATGATACAGTACTATTACGTCTGGGTCTCTGTGTGTCATTAAAGCTCTCTGTGTGTGTGTGGNTCTTCAACTCCCGCCAAATTATGGGTGACGCCAATGCGGGCACAGCGCTCCAGCTGCACCGTTCAGGATCCCAGCATCTGCATGTAAACGCACGATGGCGCACACAGCAGCAAGCTCAGACAGCGATGACAGTTTAATTTTGAACGTGTCTGAGAGCTCATATGAGGCTGAAGGATCGGTTTATTTTGTATCTGTTAGAAGTTTAGGAATTAGGTGCGTCAATATGGGCGATCA